AAAAACCTCAAATGGTCACGGTGATTAGGCTCCCTCCCCATCTAATTGTCGGTCACCAGAGTAATAAAACATTATTTATTTTTTATGATTTTTTGCTTTTAACATTCTCCTCGTCGTTCTCGTCGTCGCGGTCAATTACAATTTTAATGATGTTTTTCACATTAAGTTGTTTTTTGTGAAGATTTCAATTCCTTGGGGTCAAATTTTGTACTTCGATCTGGTATACAACAACGAATACTATTTGCGGGGATACTTTATCGGGTGTCATAAGTTTCGACAAGAAAAAAATGAATAAAAAATCATTTTTATTACTTTTTTCCATCGTTTCAGAACATAAGGCAGATTGTGCCCTCCCTCCCCAATCCATGCACACTTGGTACACTCGCTCTATTTTTTTTTTTCGTTTTTTTTTCAGATATTGAATTTGGAAAACAAACACACATCTGTTGTTGCTGTTTTCATTATTCGTTTCTTCTGTTTTTCATATATTTTTTTTTTCATTGTACAATGACTTCAAACCAAAATGACATTTCTTCTATTACATGTTCTCTCTTTTTGTCACATTACAGGCCAGAGGAAAGACTGCCAGGGCATGGAATATGTGTCTGGTAGGACTGTGACATTTTTTTTGTGAAATTGTATCGTAAAAACAGAAACAAATTTAATTGCCTTCAACTTGTTTGAATTTCTATAAAGTTCAGCAGAGTCTATTTGTGTGGTTGCTTCTCCTGCCACATTTCGATTAGTTATGCCTCAATAAATCCAATTTTGAGGTTGTTCCTACCACATCAGTCAGCCAGTGACTCAGTTCATTTTTTAAGAACGCATAGAGTAGGGACTATAATTGGTTTGGTAATAAAACTTAATTGAAGTTTTAATTGAATTATTTACAGATGCCCAGAAGAGAAGGTGGCAACAACAATTAGAGCATTATGTGATTCAAATCAGAAATAATTTTTATTTCGAAATATTTATATTTATTTCGAAATAAATAATAAATTCAATAATAAAAATTTTGTATTTCTTCTATGAGCAAATATAAGATCAGGGAGTTATTAAGGAAAGAACTGTGAAATTAAAAAAATATATTTTTCAAATCAAATTTCCATAGAACAATGATTGAGCCCCATGGTGGAAAAAGTCAGAGCTTTAAGGCAAAATTTTCTCAAATAAAAAATATCAACCCATTTTGAGTTCAGTTTTTTTTTTTGTAAAAATTACAACTCAGATTGCAGGTGTTTTTTTTTTTGTAAAAAAATATGCAACTTTTCTGTGGCTGAAATTATTTAGAGAAAAAGTATTAACGCAGCACTGACGTGATTTTTTTCTGTAGAGAGCAAATAAAGTAGTATCAGTCGGTTTTGCCGACAGATATAGACCCCCAGTCTTGAGTTATGATTATTCAAACTGTTGACCCTTTCTGGGGAGGTTCCGAGGCAGTTGGCCAATATTGACCAATTCGTATCTGACCCAAGACAGATATAAATATAACAACGTGCCAGGTTTGGACGATACCGACTACCTCCTATACTTTATATGAGATATGTGCAAATTTTTGGAAAATGTGGCAAATGTGTGGAAAATGTGTGAGGTAACAGATATAGCGGAGCGAAGTATTCCATTTTCATACTTCATACATTCATATCTAATTTTATGCGAAATCATAAATTTCGATAAATTTAATATTCATATCAGATTTCTGATTAAGAGTAATATTTAGATATGGCAAGTTGTAAAAAATAGCTGACTTGTTTCACAAGTTATGACAGCTAAAAATATTGAAAATTGTAAAACTTTGTGGGTGAGGTTCCAGAAGGGGTTGGCAGATATATATCATCTTCACAACAGATCCTACCTTAGCAATAATATTTGGATGTGTGAAATTTGAAGAGAGTTGGATGCTTATTTCCATTTCTTTGAGCGTTTTGTTTTTAAAAAATCTTGAACCCTATATGGGGCAGGTACCAGAAGAAATGGTCCGATCTGTACCATCTTTATAGAGATCTTGTGTTAATGGAAATATTGCGATGTACCAAGTCTGAATGGAATCGGATGTTAATTTCATGGGTATTCAAAATGTTGACCCTTTGTGGGAGAGGTACCAAAAGGAGTGGATCGATATATCCCATTTTCACACCAGACAGAACCAGATTCAAAACTTCGATCCTTTGTGGGGGAGGTACCAGTAGGAATGTTCCGATCTCTACCATCTTTATAACAGATCTTGTGTTTATGGAAATATTGAAATGTACCAAGTCTGATTGGAATCGGAATTTCGTGTTTTATGAGTTTCATGGATGTTCAAAATTTTGACTCCTTGTGGGGGACATACCATAAGAAGTAGACCGATATATTCCATCTTCACACCAGATCTTGGATTAATACAAATATTGTTATGTGTGTAATTTGAAGACAATCGGAATCTTACATCACATTTTATAAGAGTTATAATTATTCAAAATTTGGACCCTTTGTGGGGAGGTACTTGATGAAGTGCACCGATATTGTCCATTTTCGCACCTGATCTAGCACCGATGCAACTATTACGATTCGCAAAGTTAGGCAAAATCTTTGAAAATATTGACATTTTGTTTGGGAGGTACCAGAAAGAATGGACCGATATTGTCCATCTTCGAACTCGATCTAAGTTTGGCAATAATATTACGCTGTACCAAGTTTAGATCAAATGTGATTCTCCCTTCGAGAGTTATCGTGCGCACCAACCAAACAGACAGACGGAAGTACGGACATCGCTAGATCGACTCCAAATGTCCTGAAACGGATTTGGTCCAAAGAGACCTAGGGTCTAAACCCGTTATTTAGATGAGGCACGTTTTGGCCGTATCAAATGATACATACCCTCTCTAGCCATATGGCTAAGAGTAAAAAATCACAGCTCAGCTCAGAGGTGATGTTTTTTTTTTACATAAAATTTGCAATTCATCTGTGAATCGGATCTAAGTTCTGCGGTGAATTATTTCAAAAGAAAAAGAAAGGTGCACTTGAGGTATAAGTACTGGAATGTGTGCAGTTTAGAATGGATCGAGTGATGCTTATTCCGCATTTTATGAGTGTTTGGTTATTAAAAATTTTGACCCGTTGTGGGGAAGTACCAGAAGTAGTGGTCCCTTCTATACCAGTCTTCTGGTGTTAGAAATATCCAAAAGTGCGAAATTTTTAGATCCCACAAAGTATATATATATTCCTGATCAGCATAACATTTTATGTCGGTTTAGCGATGTCCGTCTGTGGAAATAAATCTAGCTTCCGAACGAATTGAAGCAGGTTGATAACATTTCACTCAGATGTGTGTTTGTAAAGTAATTTGTGTTTGCAGGATTTTTGGTATTGATAATGGGATATATAGGTCCACGATTTGGTATAGCCCCTATATAACGGTAACTCCCTATATCGATATATCGAATAAATTAGCGATTTTATTCATCGGAATTGTTTCAAATTTCGAATTTAAAGTTCGTTATGGGTACTACAGTCTGTGACAGAAAATTGTCTATGCTGGTCCGGATGATTTTAGTAATATTACTCACCGAAATTGTTTCAAATTTCGTATTTGAAGTTATTAATGGGTATTACAGCCTGTGACGAAAAACTGCCTATGCAGGTCCACGTCTTCGTATATACACCAGTATAACTACCTATATTCGATATTTTAATGATTTTTAACAGCATTTTTTATTTTTTTTTTAATTTCCAAATTCCTTTCAAATGGTGGAGTGTATTCAAAGTATTCGGTATTTTGATGATTTTAGTAATATTATTCGTCGGAATTGTTTCAAATTTCGTATTTGAAGTTACTAATGGGTATTACAGCCTGTGACGTACAACTGCCTATACAGGTCCACGTCTTCGTATATACACCAGTAGTATAACTCCATATATTCGGTATTTTCATGATTTTTAACAGCATTTTTCATTTTTTTTTAATTTCCAAATTCCTTCCAAAAGTTGGAGGGTATTCAAAGTTCGAACATACTGTTTTTTTACTTGCTTTCTTTGTCATCTTCTTCTATGTCTCATTATCTTAACATGGCTTTCTCTAGTTCTCTTTTGCCACATTCCTTTACATCACACATTTCTTGATTACGCATCTCTTTATGTTGTTATTTACACAATATGGCGACATAAATGTTCGCTTAATGGCGATAAAATGAAGAAGAGCCTTCTCACCGCAGATCTGGCGACAAAAGGAGTGAGTGAGCTCGATGCGACAAGGAGTGCATTCACAATTAATAACGATTATGACACTGGAGCGTGTCGTCTATACTTCAATCCACAGTTACTGGCAGCAGCCGTAGTGTATTGTTGTACGTCTGTCAGTCTCCGTGTCTGTCCGACTGTCTGTCACATACAACTGACAGGAGTGACAAATATGTTGATGTTGGAAAAAGAGGTGGTGTTGCTTTTTTCCTTTTTCTTCTTTCAGTGTCAGTGCATCAGCTTCGAGATAATAATCTTTTGTTTGCAATGATGTTCCAAGCAGAGAATGACTGGTTGGCTCGCTCACTGGCTGGCTGAATAACTGACAGGCAACATGCAAGCTATGGTTATGCTTTGCAAAATGCAATAATACCCGCCAAAGATGTATTGTTGTTGCAGTTGGTGTTGTATTATTTTTATTATTGGAACGTGTTCAACAAAGCAATACAACATCTTACAACAATTGAGAGCTATTTGAATGGTGAGTGGCACAAAGAGAGGTGCTGGATAGGGAAAATGCGAAGTGCTTACAATGCCATTAAGGACTTGCAAACAAAAGCTGCAGGCATTCGAGCTATGCAAGCAAAATAACAAACATAGATGTAATAAAGAAAATCCTGAGGACAAAGAAGAAGACAATAAATATCTCATATAAAACAGGCTGCGCATATCTTCCAGATGAAGACTCCAGGTTCAGGTTGGAGTGGTGGAGGGTGTGCCCATGTGTCATTCGTGTTAATAAATCTATTTATTACATATTAATGTCAGATCCAAAGGTGAAATGTTTTAAACAAATTCACGCTATACTAAATATTTATATTTACGGGTGATATGTCCTATGTGGGAAGTAGAGCCGTTACGGTTTAATAAAAAAAAACGGAGAATGCGAATAAACAAAGAACAAAAAAAAAAAAAAAACAACATCAACAAATATATGAAACAGATGTGGGCCTCTGCTTCGACTGCGAAGATGCCAGAATACAAAACATATTTTTTGCCATCTTTTTTCTCTCGTTTTTTCAAACAAACCAGCAAAAATTAAATGGAAACCCAGGGAAAGATAGCACTCCTGCCCAGCCAAGTTGCAGCAGTAGCATCTTCTCCTGCGGCCATACTAAGGCTAATGATCATTATCTTGTTGCATCTTCTTCTGGCGATCATCACTACCCGTATGCTGGTTTGTTGTCTAAAAATAACAGCTTGTTAATTTTATTAAAACAGACATGTCTGCCCTAAAATACAAACATTTGCATTTATTTTCCCCCTTCCGTACTTACCTCTATGTCCGTATTATTGATATTACCACCAGATACCGGCGGGCCAGGCAAGCAGGCAGGCCCTTTTTGCCTTTCATTTTGTTGATATTTAACAAGAATCATACATTAGCCCTGCTTTGTCTTCTCTCCTTTTTAAATGATTTAAAGTGAACTGGCAAGTTCTAAATTTAGAAAATTAATTTCTGTCACATAGAATGTGGCACGAAGTCTGGCAGAGAATTCAAAACATTAATAAGTTTTTTGTTTTAATTATATATAAAAAGTAGTGACGATACGTCTGAGGCTAGAATCTTGAAATTATCCACGAGGGTCAGTTTTTGGAAGTTCGTCCAAAAGGTTATGATTGTATGGGGTGAATAGGATAAAGTTCAACTCGAACTTAGGTGGGATTTTTTTTTCTATGAAAAAAAAAAAAACAGTGAAGAAAGTCTTAAAGTATCGCTGGGCCGACTTTATGATACCCTACACCTCGTTGCATTTAGTAGAGCTTCACATAACAAATAAAAAGGACTAAATATACTGAAGTATTTGTATCTTTCAATTCGGGCTTGTATTATCCACTTGGTGCATAATTAGATTGAAATCGGATGAGAGTAAATCTGAACCGATCTCGATAAAATTTGGCATAGGTGCTTCTGAGCTTCACATATTTCCCCAAATACTGTTGTTACAGCGGGCATATTACGGCTGTGGAGGACAAAAATAACAAATTGGATGAATAATATATATACTGGAGCTATAGCTATGTCTGAACCGATTTCGATCAAATTTGGTAGTATCCATTACGAACTTCAAATACCAAATTTGAAAAAAATCTGCATCATAATGTCGCTAAAATCATCAAAATAGCGAATATCGGGAGGTACCGTTATATGAGGGCTATACGAAGACGTGGACCTGCACAGACAATTTTTTCTCTTTTATCGATTACGAACTTCAAATACCAAATTTGAAATATTTCCGGTGAATAACGTCGCTTAAATCGCCAAAATACCGAAAAAAGGAGGTACCATTATATGGGGGCTATACTAAAACCTGGACCTACATGGTCCATTTTCAATACCAAAAGTCCTGCAGATATAATATACATTTGAGTGAAATTTTATCAATCTACTTTATTTTGTTCGGAAGCTAGAGTGATTTCCACAGACGGACCGACGACATAGAATTTTAAGCTGATCAAGAATATATATACTTTGTGGGGTCTAAAATGTATATTTCGAGGTGTTACAAACGGAATGACCAACTAAGCAGGCCTGGGAACAGTTTTCCTTCTACAAAAAAAAAAAAAAGAAATCGGAATCTAATCAGATTGGTGGTCTAGTTTTTATACCCTACACCACAAAATGGTCAGGGTATTATGTCTTTGTGCATTTGTTTGTAACAGGCAAAAGGAAACGAGATAGACCCATAGTTCCTTTTGATGATCTGCATAGAATCACATTCCGAGTTGATTTATGCATGTCAGTCCGTCTGTCCGTCCGTCCGTCCATCCGTCTGTCCATGTATTCTTGTGAACAAAATGCAGGTCGCATTTATTATCCGATTGAGATGAAATTTTGCAAACAACATTTGTTTGGCCCAAGGACGAACCCTATTGAAATTAGAGATAATCGGTAAAAATTTAGATATAGCTTCCATATATATCTTCGTCCGATTTGCCTTTTATTGTGCACCAAACGTGTAATATCAGCCCGAATAGTATGGAATTTTGCACATACAACCAAATTAGGTCTGAAAATAAGTATGCCAAATTTGATCGAAATCAGTTCAGATATAGCTATAGCTCCCGTATATATTGTTCATCCGATTTGTTATTTTTGTCCTCCGCAGCCGTAATATGCACTCTGTAACAACAATATTTGGGGAAATATATCAAATGCAGCTCAGAAATACCTTTGCTAAATTTTATCGAGATCGGTTCAGATTTGGATATAGCTCCCATATATAACTTCGTCCGATTTACCATTTATTGTGCACCAAACATCTAATATTTGTTCAAATGGGATGGAATTTGGCACATACGACCGAATTTAGTCTAGAAGGTAGTATGCCAAATTTGGTGAAGATCGGTTCAGATATAGTTATAGCTCCCATATATATTGTTCATCCGATTTAATGTATTTGTTACTCACAGCCGTAATATGCACTCCGTAACAACGATAATCAGGGAAATATATCAAATACAGCTCAGAAATATCTTTGCCAAATTTTATCGAGATCGGTTCAGATTTGGATATAGTTCCCATATATATTTTTATCCGATTTCAAATTAATTGTGCACCAAATGGGCAATACAAGTCCGAATTTAAAAGATACAAATGCTTCGGCATATTTAGCCCTTTGAATTTTAAATTATAATTATAATCATAGCGTGTATGATTGAATTCTCCCATAAAAACTTTTAATTATTAAGTGGAGCTCAACTAAATTAGCAAGTGGTGTAGGGTATCATAAAATCGGCCCCGCCCGACTTTAGGACTTTCTTTACTGGTTATGCTATAGAACTGAGCTTTAATTTTTTTCGTTAAGGAAAAAAACATATACCCTCAAATCTAAGTTTTTATTTAGGAAAACAAACAAATCAACCTCAGAACTGATTACCGATTTGTCCATCTCTGCTATTTGTTCTATGGAATTTCCCAATGTGGTTAATGGCATATTTGTCTATATTGAAAAGAAAGTTCTGCATATATGATTATTTAAAAAAAGAAAAGAATTTTTTTGATTAATCAATACCGCTTGTCATAGATCTCAGCTTTTGTGGTTATCGGAAACCACAATGCAACACACTTTCTCATTAATTAATTGCATTTTACAATATTTTGAACAATGTCAACGAAGCGGTGGGTGGGGGTTATGTGGTGGTCGGTCGGTCGCTGTAGCATGTAATGTTAACCTCAATTGTTTAATGGTGTTTACATTTACACTGTCTATTGTTGTTGATTTTCCCTTGGCACTCCATAACCCCTCTCTCTCTCTCTTTCCCCATTGTCATGCTAGGCTCCAAACGATGGCTTCTTATTTGTAGTTGTTTTTTTGTCGTGTTTGCTTCGTTTATTGACTTATTCTTGTTCCTTAAATATTTACATACCTACAAACATACATAGGTACACATGGATGTTTGTATGTTTAATACCCACATACCTATATGCTGGTAGATATGTATGGATTTTGTAAATTGTGCCGCTGCTGTTGGTAAATAAGAAAAATATTCGAAAATTTCACTTTTACTTTTCGTTTATATTTCTTTTGCAATTTCTTTTTATTTTGTGTTTTTACAATACAATTGTTATTGATTTTTTGCTGTTTTTGGGGCCGTTTGGCATACAAATTTTTGTCGTAAGAACAACCTCAATTCGATGGCGTTGATGGCATTTTCCTCTGTTTGTTTGCATGCTGTTGTCAATTACGGAGGCATACAAAAGCGACGACGACGAGGAACACATTAAACGATGTTTTGACTAATTCAAGTGAATGAATGAATAAATAAATATTTAAAGTAGGACAATATTGCGGAAATCGAATTCGCTGTGATTTGTTGGCCAGATGTATGTATATGTATGAGTGTTACACACATAAACATATATGGGTTTTATTGTAGGCTTGTTTGATTGAGTGACGAAAATTGAAGTTATTTAAAATTTAATAGGGCTCTATACCAACAATACAGATGAACAGTGGTGCCTTAACAATTTCAATTGATAGAAAATACATACTTTGAAAAATCCTTTATATTGGAAACATACGCTAGGACATCGAAACATACCTGAAAAGAAGAAAGAGAATTTAAAACAATTATACAATGAAACAAAAATATAATATTATAAAATAATATAAAAATTATGGATCTGATTTTTTAAAAATATTTTCTGGGCCATAAGCTTGGATTTTTTAAAAAAAATTAACTATAAGGCCGATTATACTAAAATATTAAAAAAAAAGTTTTTAAGAGCAAGAGTCCTGATTTTCTTAAATTTATTTTGGATTTTTTTTAATAATTAGCTAGTTATTATCTTGAATGTATTACTTTTTTTGATTTTCCTATTTTTTTAAATTTTTTATAGAGTTGCAATCATAAATTATAACAGTTTGGCTCCAAACATTTGGGCTACAATCGTCTACATAAAAGATCTAACATTCACCTGAGAGCGCCTATCGGCAGTTATGGCCAAACAAATAAAAGTTTCAATAATCCAAAATTTTGTCTACAAAATTCTATTCCATAGACCTTTCCAAAATTTTGCATATTGCCTTAGCGGTTTAAATCAGTTAAAATTGGTAAGTATGTTGTTATGATATCGTAACAACAGAGGTATTTTCACAGGGTTTCCATATTTTGACTCTTTCTTTTCTTTTTTTTTTTAAATTTTATTGAATGAAAGCAAAAAATGTCGGAAATGGCATTAAATTTTAGAATACGTTTAGATTTGTTTGAATTAGGCATGAATTATGGCCTTCAAACGGCCAATGAAACCGTCACACGCGGCCCGAATGTGACTTTGCGGTATTTTACCCCATTCCCGGCGAAGCGCTTGCTTGAGGTGATCGACACTTTGGTATTTTTTAGTGCCAACCTTGTTTCCAAAATACTCCAGACACAATAGTCCAACGGATTGGTATCCGGAGATTTTGGTGGCGATTGTGCGCTGAAATGAAGCGAGGAACCTCATTTGTAACCATTCTTTGTGGCGCGTGCTGAGTCCTGTTGTGATGTCCAAGGTCTGCGTCTAAAATGTTTGCGTGCCCAAGGCTTTAATACACCCTCCAGAATATTTACGCGATAATATTCGGCATTTATTCTGATGCCACGGTCGATAAATACGAGTGGAGAGCGACCATCGGCTGTTTCGGCGGCCCACACCATCATATGGCCGGCGCTTGAGTTCTGGTGGCCAACCGCAGGTGCACATTTTCAGCTGACCTCTATGAATGATCTAAGACTTTGTCTTATTGGGCTTTTAGGTCTGGGTTTTATTTAGTGAAAATAAAAACTATTTATTTCATATTTCATCCGACGTTTCTTTGGGATTTTTCCAACTTCTTCAGGGATATTTTTATTAAATCTTTGGCAAGTAAACATGATCATCTGCTGGACAACGAATGTTTTCTCATCGGACAAAACCAAATTCGGCAATTTACCACTTTTGGCCAAGCGAAGTAACTCTTTATCTCTTTTGAGTCTACTTTATTTCTGTTGCGGTGTAAGTTCTTACATTTTTTGGAATTTCAATGGCTTTACCTCGAGCTCATT